TGTCCATAGGTATAATCATGATTCCATAAATACAAAGCAAAAGTTAACTATGGTTATGTCTATGGACACGTGTCAAGCATTGAGGATGGTGGTGAGGGTACACCTATTATTAAAGTGGTGAGCAAAAATGCACCCTGCTAAAAAAGAAATAACAAGACGGAAATACTTTTCATTTTAGAGAGAACTTTATAGAGATGTCCTACACAAGAATGTCCTGAAATAGTCAAAGAGAATTCAATTCATTAGTTTGTCTCATCTTCTTTTCCTTGAGTGTATTGTTGGATGAGTGATAAACCTATGCGTCTTTGAATGTGAGCGTGGCATGATTGTCATTAATAAGCATGAGTAGGCTAAATTAAATTTTAGGCTGATAAAATAACAACTCACCTAGGATATAGCCTAGGTTAGTCCCTTCTAGGGACCGTCCTTGCGTGGAAGCCTATCAAAGCACGCCAGCATTCCACCAAAATTATGGAGTTCATGTATTTATGTGAATGTGAGACAACCCACTAGGGCCACTACTCACTCATGCACACAAAATATTGCTGGGCCACAGCCACAGGCCCTTCATAAAACCTTCACGAATTGATGCCTTCTTGGTGTGAAAATAAGTAGGTCAAATAATATCAACTAGGTTGGTATGATGATCAGTAAATATTGGAAGATATCTCTATCCTCATTTATAAAACAAAAATGTATTTCAAAATATTAAAAATCTTATGGGTTGGGATGAAGATATGGCTAGAATAAGCTGGGTTGAGAGCTATAATTAGAAGGGAGGAAAAATATTAAGTCGGCTAAAAACTGACTAGTCCACCACTATATTATGCATACAATGAATCTATGAATGAATACTCTTGACCACTAGAATTACGAACATCCATTTACTCCTCTCATTGCTTCTCTATCTTCAATTAAAAACAAAAGCAAAGTAGTTTACATTACAAATTTTCTTTTCCTTTTTTTGTTTGTTTTTGTTTTGGAAATTGAGTTTACATAACAAGTAACAGGCCCTTAGAAACACTACAACACAACTAATGTTTTCATATCTCCAAAACATTCCACAACTTACTTATATGTCTTATAAAAAAATCACATATCTCATCAGCACTTCCCAACAGCACTGAAATTATTGTCATGTCAAAGAAACCTCAAGACCCTTAACAAACCAAAACAATCTCTAACTTTCCATCCCAGTTGAGAGAAGCTGTTATCAGTTCAGTGCCTATATGCTTTCTTTGTCAAGACCCTTCACAAGTTCATGTGGGCTTCCATTGTTTCTTTGTGAAGGCTACAGGGCCAACATTTGACCTCAGAGTTTTGGCCCAATCAAACTTCTTGGAATTTCTAGCCATCTTCACAAATGGTTGCACATAATTTTCTGATCTTGAACCAGACCAATTAGGACCACTACCCTTTTGATCAGGAGGTGCTGGTTTCTTGGTCTCTTTTATTTCAATCTTGGTTCCTCCTTCCATTTTGATGTTTATATTCACCTCACAAAATGCTTTCTCCATCTTTCTTTCATCTCTAGCAGCAAGAGCAGCAGCATAACTTGATCTTCTTTCCTTTTGGTGTTGATAAAGCCTGTGCAATCTGAGAGCAAGATGGCAGATTCCATCTTTGATTTCTTCCTCTAAGTCTCTCTCTATATCCATCTCGACCTCACTCCGAATCTTCAGCTCTTCTTCTGGGATAAAGGCCCCAGGCTTTTCATTTAACTATACCATAACACAACTACATTACTACATGATGAAATTAAACAATGTACTCAAATTTAACTAGAATAAACGAATTCAATAACAAATAATAAGGGGGATTAGTTCTTTATGTGTCACCAGCCAAGCACCAGTGCTGTTGATTAAATTCGTGGCCTCGTTCGACCGCAACGTTGAAAAATCTGCAAAACCCACAAAAGGGTCACCGAAGTCGGATAAATCCACAAGAAGAGCACATGAAAAACGAAGAATTTGACAGCCAAATAGCATGGAAATCAAAGGAACCTATAAAATCTGAATTGTTGCATTTTCCTTGCTGGTCCATACTTTGTACTTTGTGTCTTGTGCTATTTTACATGTCTTCTTGTGCTTGAAATCAACCCATTTTAAACCCTAGCAGAGCGATTAGGACTGCTGTGAATGGGACCTGTGGTTTAGATATTTGTGGTTGGAATGAAGACGACATAAGTTGGGTTCCCTTAGTGAGAAATGGCCGTTAGAGACCTTATTTTGGCGCCAAATATCTCAGCCCAGATTAAAAATTACTGGAAGGTAATTTGGTTTTGTTGGGGAATAAGAAAAGAGAGATTGTTTCTCAAAATAAAAAACTGCTTAACTTGGAAGGAATCAAATGTTTGGGTTGGTCTTGAAGCATAATCAACACACACACACATGACGGGCCTATGGATAGTAACCCTTCCCTTGGGCTGATGTAAAGGTTTTTCAGTTGAAGTGCCTATGAATATTGCGAAATACTAATTCACTTTTTTTTTCTCTTCATAATATCACTGTTTAAGATACTTATATTGATAGACTTTGAATCTAAACCATTAATTAAGTTGATTATTGTGTAATTATATTCTTAACAACTCATTAACAGTGCGGTAGCTCGGCTCTATTTGGGCAATGGTGTTGATGATGTGATGGTTTTGTATGTTTATGGCTTCTAATGAGCCGATATTTCTGTTTCAATTTCTTTGGCTCATTGTTTCTTGCCACTGTGCTATCATTTTTCTGGGGTGAATTTGCTGCTCAACTTTCTGTAATTGCCCTATCTTTATGAAATGAACCTTCCTTTTTGTCGCTAAAAAACCTAGAACCGTGGACAAAAAAATAACTCATGTATAAGAGATAACTCATCCCTCCCATACCTCTTCAAGAGGGTTGTGTTGGGGAAGAAGAAAAGAGAGATTGTTTCTCAAAATAAAAAACTGCTTTACTTGGAAGGAATCAAATGTTGGGTTGGTCTTGAAGCATAATCAACCCACACACATGACGGGCCTATGGATAGTAACCCTTCCTTTGGGCTGATGTAAGTTGAAGTGCCTATGAACGAATTTGCAAAATACTAATCTCTGTTTAAGATACTTATATTGACAGACTATGAATCTCAACCATTCGAATAAAAACGAAATGAATCTAAACCATTAATTAAGTTGATTATTTTGTAATTATATTCTTAACAACTCATTAACATACACACAAAAATACTTACTTTTATCTGCATATTAATGTGATTAGAATCAACATATCCACAAGTATAAGTGCTATGGTTGCAAATTTTGGCACCTCTAGGGTTGATTTAGCAAGAGCTTCACCAAGGAGGAGACAATGATTTCGACCCTTCCTTTGGGCTGATGTAAGTTGAAGTGCCTATGAATGAATTTGCAAAATACTAATCTCCGTTTAAGATACTTATATTGACAGACTATGAATCTGAACCATTCGAATAAAAACAAAATGAATCCGAACCATTAATTAAGTTGATTATTGTGTAATTATATTCTTAACTCATTAACATACACACAAAAATACTTACTTTTATCTGCATATTAATGTGATTAGAATCAACATATCCACAAGTATAGGTGCTATGGTTGCAAATTTTGGCACCTCTAGGGTTGATTTAGCAAGAGCTTCACCAAGGAGGAGACAATGATTTCGATCCTATGGTATATACCATGGTGTTGTTGTGATTGGTTGCTATTTTCTCCTTAGTGCACATGCGGACTCGGGTGTGAAGAAGAAGATGACTCTTGGAAGAATGTTCTTGTGCTGATGTGTTTTTGTTTCTGGGGGAATTTTATTCTTGGCGTAAGATCAATGGGTCTCTATGTGCTGCACTTGTGCGGAGGATGTGAGTCCCCTCCTTGTGGCCATATTGGTGCGGTCTCTAGTCCCGGGACAGTGGCTCTTTTTTGTATTTTATTTTGATTTTGTGTGGGGAAGATTTGTTATACTAGATTGTACTAGTTTTTAGTCTAATATTCTATGTGCTTGTGGTACTTTATTTCTACATTTGGCCTTTTCGGCTATTGTATTCTCTGTTTTGTTTCCTTCCCATTTTTGGGGTTTTAATGAACATTGATTGACCCAAAAATATATTAGAACCGTGGACAAAAAGATAACTCGTATATAAGAGATAACTCATCCTTCCCATACCTCTTCAAGAGGCATAAGTTGAACATGAGATCCAAGGCAATTTTAGTGTGAGAAACTTGTAAAGAAAAACAAATGATGGAGTTAGTTACCCATGCCAATCTTAGAAGAGTAAGATTGGGGAGCAAAAGAACTTAAATTAGGGGGAGCGATCGGTTAGCAAATTAGAATTTTAACAATTTCATATGTGGTGGCATGTATAGTCCATCATATTCAAGAAATTATGATTCCTTACGTTCTAATGCAATCTGTCATATTTTCGGGATAAATATACATGTAATCATAATTTAAATGGAGTTATGTTTATATAATTATGGCTTTGGTAGTGACGAAGGGGGTGATGGATCCAATTAACAAATGTCTTTTAGAGGCTGATTCCAACCCTATCATCCATGGAGTCCACTCCATAAATCCTTTTTTTGTTAGGCTTACGTTTACAAGCACGCCAACCCATCTACACAATTATTTGTATGGTTGTTGTCAACTCAAATTAGTCTTATTTTTCTTTTTTAAGTTTGAATTCAAATTAATCTTATAAAAGTATTGATGGCCTCTAAACTATTAAATATAACTTAATCGAATTAACTACATTTATTTGCCTTATTATTGAATCATTTACAAAATTGATTTGGAGGTGTAAATCAAACATCATTTTCTCAAGATTTTCTTACCAACCAAACAGTTTTCGGTTGTGTCGATATGGTATAGGCACTGCCCGCTTTAAGTCAATTCAAACCAAATAAGTTTTTAAAGAGAAATGGAGCAAAATGGAAGTCAATACGAGCTTGAGCAGGTGAGCTAAGCAGCTTTGGCATTATGTAAGAGACACCCAACAAACCCACATAGTTTGGTATTCACATGGTCAGATTGCCAACCAAAGAACTCTAAGTGTGCTCTTTGGATTAGAAAATGAGAAAGTCATGCGCTACCTTTTCAGAAAACAGTGGACTTTCTTCGCTTGAATATTGTATTTTTTTGGGAATTAGGGTTGAATATTGTAATTAATTAATAACCCCACAAGTTATGAATATGTCAGCTTTTTCAACTCGGGCGTGCAATGCCAATGTACAAATAATTTTTACGGCTTGAAATGATATAATTTTTTTTTACTAATTTTTATTTTATTTTATAACCAATTGGGTGTTAATTGGATTGACTCGGACTTGGTGTGCTTCCAAATGGTCCTGGACTATGTTGCACGGACACGGGTACGGCGACACGGAAACCCGACACGGCGACACGGCGACACGGAAAATCTCAAAAAAGTAGGACACGGCGACACGGCGACATCGAAAATCTTAAAATAATAATTAATTCTCAATATTTTAATATCACATAATTCCATAAAACAAAATAAATAACTCATGTTCATCATCCATACATAATAATTAATACACCACAAAATAAAACATAAATGATCTAACTCTCAATCTTCTTCAATCATCTATGTCTTCATTGTTGTTATTAGAAAACAACACGCCCTCTAATTCCGGTTCATCAAGTGAAAGGTTTGCAATTTCAAGCACACCCGCATTCTCCAACAACTAAATTAAAAATTAAAACACATCAAAACAGAGAAACAAAATTAAAAATTTGTGAAGCCATAGTTTGGTATTCACATGGTCAGATTGCCAACCAACGAACCCGAAGTGGGCTCTTTGGAATATTAAATGAGAAAGTCATGTGCCACCTTTTCAGAAAACAGTGGACTTTCTTCGCTTGAATATTGTATTTTTTGGAAATTCGGGTTGAATGTGGTAATTAATTAATAACCCACAAGTTATGAATTTGTCAGCTTTTTCAACTCGGGCGTGCAATGCCGAAGTATAAATAATTTTTACGGCTTGAACTGATATAATTTTTTTAACTAATAATTAAACCTTTTTGTATTTTTATTTTTTTTACCAATTGAGTGTTAATTAGATTGACTTGGACTTGGTGTGCTTCCAAATTATCCTGGACATATTTAAGCCTCATTGTACCTATGTGTGTGTAAATTTCTCTCCTTCTCTTTTTTTTTTTTTGGGTCTGAACCACGAGGTGGTCCTGGATGGGTGACTCCGTACGAGAGCAGGGATCGAACCCCTGACCTCTCTTAAGGAATGAGAGTGCCGAACCACTCACACCAACCACTTTGGTTTC